TATCGCGCCCCTCTCATGTTCCAAGGCTCGTGTGGCACGGTGTGGATGCGGATCATAGGTATCTTATCTACATCCAGCCTGCCACGCTCCTCGTCACTAAACGCGTAGGCGCGATACTTTCTCTTCATTAATTCCACCATCAGCGTTCGCTCCTGAGGCAGCAGGAAATCAGACTCCCCTATGATCAACTCCTTCTCGTTCCCTTCGTTGATACGACATGGCCCTGCTAAAACCCTTTCCCTCATTTGTCGAATCAACCCTCGTTCCCTCTCGTAATATGCTTCCTCGTCCTCTGTAACGAGGACGGGTACTGGGCGGCATTTCTTATCTACCGTCTTGTATCGCCTTTGGGAACCCTGCTTGAGCCGTCCCCTAAAAAAGGCCGACTCACAGATTGTGTTTGCGCTGATGCGGGGTTCCCTCCACTGCCTGGGAGCCGATATACCAGTTCCAACCTTCCTGCCGCAGGGCATTCCAGAACTTGTTCCCTCAAGGCCTGGATGGCATCCGGATCTGCCACCTCATGCGCGGCCACCAGGTTCATGGCCTTCCCAACATCTGACAGGCTGAGGGAAAATGCTTTCTCCCCCTCTCCTGCTTCGGGCTCTGCCTTGAGCCTCCTGCGCTCCCCTTCCGACTCCTCGATTGTGAATGATCCTGGATTGGGCCAGTTCCTTATACTCCTTGGCCCGGTGTTCTTGCAAGTAATTATTTCATAATTTCCGCAAGCAGGATCGCATAAGAGGAGGATCAACGTCCGTCATGTTTGTTGAACATCACGGTCTCTGTCCTGCTTAGGAATGACCTCCCCAGGAGGATTCCATGGTCCACGTCTGGCATTATGAAGAAGCATGCCCTGGCCTTCACCTTTCCAACCTCGACGAGTACATTTGAGGTTGTCCCACAAAACACGGCCTTACAGCTGGCTCCATGCAGAATACCGGAGTCAGAACGGTCTATATCCAGCCCGAATCTGATCGCGTCCGCCTCCCGAATAATGTTTATCTCTGCCCCGGTGTCCACCATTGCTGCGCACTTGGAACCCTTCACCATCAAATCCACCGTACCGCAGGCTACACACTTCCAGTCCATTTTCGTACCTGACTCTGCCCACTCTGCCTCCTTGGGCAGGATCGTACCTAGATGGACATTGGGCACCAGGCGCCGTGATAACCTCCCCTTTAGTTCATCGCGGAGTCGCGGGGCTGACGCTAGGATCTCCTTCAGGGTCATGAGGTCATTATGCCCTTCCAGCAGCCGGTCAATCATCTTCTCTACGTCAAATCCTTCTTCCAACCGGACCGCGTATTTCTTCTTTTTGGGCGGTCCGTCCTGTATGACCGGTTCGGCCTCTCCCCTGATCCCCTTTTTCCTTGCCCGCTGCTCCGCTCTCTGATCCTCTTCTCGGCGCAGCCTCTCGTCCTCTTCCTCTTCGTCATCATCGTCCTCTACTTCCACAGCCTCTTTCCTTCTCCCTGGTTCGTGTTCCCCTCTTGGAGGCTCTTGGCTGGTACTGACCTTGGCTTGATTCCTCGTTCGCGCTGCCTGTGCCAGCCGGGCTTGCGGAGTGAGGGGTCTCCCCCTTATTCCTGGTTGAAGGCACGACCTTACCACATTTACTCCGGGTCGCCCAGGCGCTGATTCCGGACCGGAGTCATAGAGGAATACTGTGGGGATGTTAGACCTCCATCCTTTCACTTCTTTACAGAGGCCCGCCATCTTCTGTTGGTACCTCCCCATCTTATCCAGCAAGTCCTTCATCCTCTCCAATAAGGCGGATGGAGGCTCCATTCTTTCCTCCTTCTCCTCGTCATCTGATTCGATGATTATGATCTCTTCCGTCTCACTTCCTCCTCGTAGCCCTTGAGTCACTTCCTCATTACTCCCCACTTCTTCCACCCCAAACGGTGGTTCCTCCTTTCCCTGCCATAGCCTGAACATGGCAGGGGGCGGTGGTCCCGCTGCCGCTCTTCGTTGGGCTTCA